GCGCTTAAAAAAACTTCACAAGTAATTGTAGTTTGTCAAACTTACTTTATTTACATTTAATAAATTAACTGGAACAAAATTAATTTTCTTACTTGCTGGCACTAAACATCACCAGTTAACATTATCATGGGTTTTCCAACCAAGTAGCTGTTGCTTTCAATTGTCGTAAAAATGTTCTCCATATAAAATGACTTAAAAGAAATTTGACTTCGTAATTTAGCGCCCTCAAATTAGGACCCTGTCTCTTTAAAAACTCCTGCTCTTTATGAAACTTTGCTCACAGGAAGTCATCACATCGCTCCTCTTTCAACATTTTTTACCAGCGTTGCACTAACAACTAGCTCATATGATGAGCTCAGCTGATGCGCAGCTCCAGCAGGTGATTGCTAATTGCTGCTGGCTAGTCTGCAGGAGCTGAGTGGAGGAGTTGCAGGGGCAGGGCTGCTTTTTAATCTGGAAGCATGTAAGTTTAGAAACTGCAGTTCTGAGGAGGAACTACATCCTTGAGGGAGGAGCTAAGTCCACCTAGGCGTTTTGCTAGCTGAACGGTTTCCATGGGAGATTCAAGGGTTTTTAAAACATAAATGGAAGAATCAAAGCAACACGCCAGCTATGTTTTTGATGAGAGAATAACATTATAACACGATGTAAATCTCCAAAAAGTCAATTTCACACAATACTGCCCCTTTAACAGACCACGCCTTATGCCATTTTACTGATTTTGTTGTTTTTAGACTAGTACTGAAACTTTTATTGTACAATGGTGCAAGGTGGTTCATGCTTTAGGTCTTGTGGCAGGAATTAGAGCCTATAAATCGTTTCTACTCCCACATAATTCCCTCACTTTACATGTCGACTGCCTCTTGTGTCTATAAGCCGTCGCTGGTTCCCAGTACAATCGTCTAATTCTCTGCAAGCAACGGAAGGAACCCACATGGAAGCTGTTCTTCCTTTAAGTTTACACGGGAATCTAACGAATTCAAAATGTCGTGTCTTTGAAACGATCAAAAGCAGACCGAGTGGGGTGAGCGAGAAAACGTCTGTATGGATGAATCACGGCGCTTTTTATTAGCTCCTCGCCCGAACTGTCAGCTCGTCAAAAGCGTCTCCCGGTGCATGCTGGGACAGCCGCCACCATCCCGACCACCTCCAAAGAAAAAAAAGAAAAACAGGATTAGACAGGTGGAGAGAATGCAATATTGAATCCGCTGTCTCAGTCATCAAAACCTAAAGATTGCGCTTTTTGGAAAACACTTCACCGTCTCTGTTTGACGAGCCAGTAAATGAAAGGCCCTTCACAACGAATTACCGTGATTGCTCGGATGCTCCGTGATATTGACTTCGTTTTGGAGGGGTTTTTATTTTTCCACAAGCTGCTGTGGGTTGATGCGCTGCTTATTTTTAAGACAACAGACAAGCACAATGTATAATTTATCACACCGAAGAATAAGCCTTCCAAGCTGGTGAATTAAGGAAGAAATAAATGCAGCATAGGCCTGCAGCTGAAATAACTGATAATGCTTTTCTTTCTTTTTTTTTTTTTACAACAGCTTCTAAATAGAGATGGAAATAAAAAAAATTTAAATAAAAGAAATCTGTTTGCACATCATCTTAAGGAAAGTGTAATTATCTATGAACCAATCAACACCTGGCTTTCACTTCATGTGCCTGACCTTGCTGGACTCGTTACCATGGAAATGTTTTCTCTCTGTGGCAGAGCTCAGCTTTGTTACACAGAGACCTGTGTGTGTGTGTGTGTGTGTGTGTGTGTGTGTGTGTGTGTGTGTGTGTGTGTGTGTGTTTGCGTGGGTGTGTGTGTGTGTGTGTGTGTGTGTGTGTGTGTGTGTGTGTGTGTGTGTGTGTGGAGGGTGGGGGAGGGGGGGAGAGATGATGAATGGCACACACACACAGCCAGTTTTTCATGTCTTTCTCCCAGCAGGACTCCCTGGAAATAGTCTCATCCTGCCCTTTATGGCTTCTCATACTGTGTCCAAATAACAAATATGTGGGGAGTGATGAAGCAGTGGCGCAAACATTACCAAAACACTGGCAGACTCATTCTGCCTGGCAGCAAATGTTACTTCCATGCACAGATTGTTAAAAAAAAATAAAATAAGGCAAAAATGGCTTTTGTTTCTCTTTCGTTTCTGATCGGTTGTGACGGACGGCATAAATAATGCATCTTGGATGTATTTACTGGGCACGTATCAGCAATACAGTAATGTGGAAAAAAAAGCAGGACACCCCACTGCAGTCTGTCTTTCTAACATATTTGGACATGTGGATATATATTTATTTCCCCACAATACTGAGAAATTCAAGTAAAACTGGAACCGCAAGCAAATATTAAAGGGTTCCAAACCCGACTCAGACGTACTCTGGCTGCACCAACACAAATCCAATATAGAAGCTTATATATCAATTTTCAATTTAACTGATTAAATATTTGAAATGTGCTTTAATGAATTGCATACAATTCAGGAATACCTCTGCAAGAAAAGTAAAAGAATATTCAATTCAAGGTCACCTTCCATGTTTGCCTGTTTTCCCAGAATAAACTGAATGATGATTTTTTTTTTTTTTTTCAAATGCAGTTTTGGTTACGGAGATTTTTTGTTGTTTTGTTTATTTATTTTTGGATATTTAAAAGTTCCAGTATTAAATGTTCTTTAGAGATTAAAGTTTTTTGTTTTTAATCTTTGAGTGGATAAACCTGCATTCATAATCTACTACTATTATTATTATTATTATTAGTTGAAAATTATATTATGAGTGTGTGTGTGTGTGTGATATAAAGTATATTGGTGAAATAAAGAGAGACAGCAACGGCCATGTGAATGCCCGCGTCATTTATATGTGACATAGCGCCACTACGGGTGAAAAACAGTACTGCACTGCCTCGCCCCAGACGTTTTCCATGTATAACAATGAATATATTCAGCGATTTTGACCATCAGAATGTTACCAATAAAAATAAAAAAAAATATGTAAAAGTCAAGTGGACAAAATAGACTTTCTCTCATTATTGTTTGCATATTTTTTAATTCTCATGTACCTATTTTATGTGCTGTGATTGCACATTGATTTATTTCCACTTAAAATGAGCGGTGAAGTTCATCGCCTCGGGTGCACACGATGATGAGAGGATCATTACTCAGCATCTTGAAGAAGGTTTAGCCGGGGCGTGCTGCCGACTGCGAAGTGGGAGTGAAAATCACGGTGAGATCAAAAGAAGTTCTGGAGCGGCTTATGTGTCTGTTAAGGAGGTTTTAAAGTGGCAGCTGAACTTTAAATCTACCGTTTCATTATACAGAAAAGTCTTCAGAGGGAGGACATTGAAAATAGTGTTTAAAAGAACCAGGTCTGACCATCCAGCCAGGCTCACACCCCAGAAAGCGGCTGGAAAAGTCCAAATCGAGTCTCCAGAAACAATAAAATGTCATAATATCAAAGAAAAAAACAGAACCTACATGTGACAGGGCAGCATTGCTAACCAATTTGTGTGAGTGCGTTCTTTTCTTTTTCTTCTTTTCACGCAACACAAATTACTGACGTTCAAACTATATGTCTCCCATTCCACAAATGAACCCTTTATGGAAGAGGTTTGTCACACACAAGCCCCTCTTGTTTGTTATATTTGGTTTGTTACAAACACTTAATGGTTGTGGCTGCGTTGTAAGCCCACTGGGATCTCTTAGGGTCTCAGTACTGTTTCAAATTGCTTTGAAGAGAGAATCTCTAAATCTTTTGCCATGTTTTTTTCCCCCCATGCAACAAAAACTCTTGGGTGGCCTTCAATTGCCAGCTATCAACACAAAGATGCTTTTGTTTCCATTTGGTTTGCCAGCTCTCCTCATTTGTTTTGGTTTTTGAGTCAATCACAACAGTGGCTCATAGAACACAATTATTGGAAAAACTCAGCCAGTTCGCAACAGGATATGTGGTGGACTCGGCAGACCAGTGAAAGAAGAGCCTCTGATCAGATGAAACCAAAATTGAACCTTTGAAAGAAGAACGTGCAAAATATGTGGCGTAAAATGAATGCAACACACTAAGCAAATCAGTTGAGACACATATTGATGAGAGGCAAACAGAACTGAAACAAGAAGCACCAAAATGCTTTGAAATGTTGCTGCATGTCTGCTCACCTTCTCTTTTTACCTGTTTCCTGTTTGATCTTCTGCAAATAAATAAACAATTCTAAAACTTGCAACACAAATACTGAGAAAATCAGGCAAGAAAAGGCATTTATTTTATGACCAAATCTAACCGTAGCACAAGAAAAGTCAGAAAATGTGTGCTGTGTTAGGACAACTTTGCACTACATAAATCTGGCCTTTATGCAAGAAGAAACCCACTGTTGGAAGAAAACCATAAGAGGTTCATCAAGAAGTGGAAGAGGTCAGATAAGAGCAAAATGTAACTTTTCAGTAGGTGTGCAGAGAGCTAAGTGTAAAAAAAAAAGAAAAGAAATAAAACCGCACAAAACCATTAACACATTATCTCCATGGAGTAACGTGGGAATTAATTCCTTCTGCAGAGACAGATCGGCTGATTACCGCTGATGGAAGCTGCTCTCATTGCAATTAACTATGTAGGGTAGCTGAACATATGCCCGCCACATTTTTCAGATATTTTTTTTCTAAAGTAAATCTCAACACCATGTACGTTATTTTTTCTCCCCCGCCCCCCGCCCTCCCCCAGTTTGAAAATTCTCAATGAAATACATTGGAGTTGACGAAACATGGACAAATGTAAAGAATGTGAAAACTTTAACAGTTTTTTTCTCTGAATCTTAAAATAAATAAATAAATAAACTCTCAATATGCGTCTCGTCAATACATTTCTCCTTCCTTCTCCGCGCATGCTCAGTGTCTTGACTCAGCGGACCTACATCGACGGCAGCTAGAGATCAAGCGGTCCGACGACAGATGGATGCCCAGTGAGAGAAGCGGTCCGCTCCGGCTAGGAGAGGTAAGACCGAGGCCCCCGCTTCCTCCAGGCGGTCCCCACAGCCTGTCAGGGCTGATGGGAGGCCGGAGGTGAGTGCGGTGAAACACTTCGACTGACGGCGCCGACGGAAGGGGGAAGAGGCTGCGCGGTTTGCGGTGACTCACTGTGAAGTAGTGGCAGCGGTTAGCTAGTGCGAGGCGAGCGACGCGTTAAAATGACCGCAGGACGGCTCGTTCCCGGCGGTTCGGGGGCACGTGAGCGTCTGGACCGCAAGCCGACTTTCTGTCTGCGTCATGGGAGGTAACCGCCGAATTTGAAACTGGGCCAATAAGGTCTGGTGTATCCGAACAATTTCGGGTTCAGTTTACCTTTACTGTGCCTGAAGCAAAGTTTTCAGCACGACGGACAGTTCCGGGCTGAAGTCCTAAATGGATGCGGCTCAATTCCTTTCCTTTTTTCACACTTGTTGGATTGTTCAGGTTATAAAGTGGAAATATAAATAGCTAGATATTTTTTTTAGGTATGCAAAGAGACCAGCTGCCCCCTCCTCTGTTTATTCACTAGGATTGTATAGCAGCTTGCAAAGTTGAACTTTTCCACATTCTTTTACTTTACGACCACAAAGTTAAGCTTTTGTTTCACTTTTGTTCCTATTAGTGCTCTGTATTGAACTCCATCAACTCTCTCCAGTCAGTGTTGAAGAAGGCATCCACGCACCATGATGCTGCCATTACTGTGTGTCACAGTTGGGCAGATGTTTTCTGCACGATCAATGTTTTTGGTTTTCTGCCACATAGTGACTTTGAATTTAGGTCTAAAAGTTGAATTTACGTCTCATCTGGCCTGTCACGGTAAACAACAAATCGCTTGATAGCATGATAAATTAAAACTAGCTCAATAACTTCCATTTCCATGATTTATAATTTTTTTCTCTTTCTACCAAAAACTGGTTGACAAAAGTCTGCAGGCTGGTGCTTTGGTCTCAATCAAGCCTTTTTTAAGGACAATTTTGTTTATAGATACTTCATAATTCTAAATACTTTAAAACGCTATGAACACTTATACAAGACTGTAGTTTTTGTGGCTCCCTCTTTTTCCATTTAAACAAAAAAAAGTGTGATTTACTTTCTTTTACTAAACATTTTGTTATTTAAGGAAAAAAAAAATCAAACGTAGAAACAGAACAAGTAAGGAGGTTCCTCCAGTTTTGGACATATTACTTTGAAATCTCTTCCCCCCCCCCCCTAACCATTTTAGTTGTGATGCAGCATCCTACGGACAGGTGAACCCGTGTCCAGGTCCAGTCTTTCATTAGAAGCTCTGCTTCAAAGCAAAGTGGTCAATGAATCAGCAACAAGCGGACATGAAGACTCCACACAGCCACTGGGACATGGGTGACTCATCCATAGGTGGTGAGAGAGGGAAGCATAGGCCAACAGTAGCTGTCAGACATTGTCATGTAAGCGGCTGATGATGATGATGATGATGAATTCACAGGTCACAATGCATGACGCGTCTCTGCTGGGATACAAATTACACACATACATGCAGCACCTAAATAACCAATTGTATTTTCCTTTTGTTGTTGCTGTGGTGTAAACGCAGACTTCAGTGTTTGTTTGGGTGGATTTGATGTGATGAGCCAATGGAAATTGTGAGGTTGGAAATGACATCGCATTCAATTTGCAAATGCATTTTGGTGTCAGACCATGCAAAACCCTGTCAGTGATCACGGTGGTAGCAGCATCATGATGTGTATGTGTGGGGGGGCATGATTTTCCTTATCGGGGAAGATGGGCCAAGCTAAACGCAAATCAACACAAGAAGGAAATTTGCAAAAGACTAAAGAAAGGGGCGGAGTTCCTCCTTCTAATAAAATGGTGACCTTTGACATTTGGACATAGTTAAATGGAATTGGTTAAAAAATACTTCATGACAGGGAAGCCTTGTCACAGTAAAGTGTTCCCAGACTTGAAAATTCTTGAGCTTGAGCTTTTTCTTTATTTTTTCGTAAAGAATTACAGGCAAACCCGGTAGAGAAAAACCACCTGCTGTATTTCCAACACAAAGGTCCTTCTTCAAATTTTTGAACTCAGGTGGATTCGCACAGGTGTGTGCCACAGCTAAACATGTCGCAATAGACAGTTAATCGATAAATCAATTAATCACATAATAAATTCAAATGAGCTCGATAATTTCCATTTTGATGATGAATATTTATTTGAATGGCAATTTTGTTTATGAAAATACACATATTATTTATGGTCTTGGTTGTTTGTGGGATTTAGTTCCATTTTATTTCTTGTTTTCAGGTTGTGGCGTTTTATCTTATTTTGGATATTTAAAATATCTCCCAGTTCCAGTGTGGAGTGTTCGTTACAAAATGAAAGTCTGTTGTTTCTTTGATGGGGTGAACTTGCATTATTATGCCATTGTGAATTTATTATTTGAAAATGGTCTCATAACAACAATACTATCAATAACTACTGGGGCATTTTATCTTCCAGATATAACATGCACCTGTTTACTTTTTGTTCTTACTCTAGCTAAAGAGGTGAACAATGGTGCTGTGCCCTGAAGGTTGTACGTCCGGATCAGGAGGAGAATCTTCTGGCAGTGAGGTGAGCTATCTAGCTAGATTACAACTGAGAACAATCATTTGGTGTATTGAATAATTTTGCTCCCAGTCTCTCTGTGTAGAGGCTGAAAGTGGTTCTCTAGCGGTAGTTTAGTTTCCTCCTACAGTTCAAAGCATATTCAATTCACTTCAACAATGCTTTGCTGATCCCAAAGGGAAATTAAATGTTGTTGGAACTCATTTCATTAAACAGTTATGGTAGATACTGATGGCTGTAAGCATGAAAGATCTCCTGTAGCAGTCCGTATTACAGCAAAATTTTCAAGAAGCCTCTGATTAAAGACAGGCTTTGTACAGTTTTTATTAAATCTGACATTAAAATGGCAATGTTTCAGAAATAAAACATCATATGGGTGACTTGTTTTGTCATGTCGTGTACTGTAGTCACTTTGGTCATAATGCTGTTCCAGGCGGGTTCCAGCTGTCTTCAGTTTGGGGTTCGCTCCTATCTGCATCACTTCTATGAAGAGTGTTCGTCCTCCATGTGGGAGAGGGACCCAGAGAATCGGGGGTCAGCCCACAGCCACAGATCCGCCTTGTGGTGGAACTCAGCTGTCTGGAAGGTAAACTCACTGAGCACTGCACAAGGCAGCTTAAACACAGCCTTCTACGGAAGCCCTGAAAGACCAAATTTTACTTTGTTCTTGACTTGATTGATTAAACTATTTGAATGTTTTTTTCCCCTCTTTGTGTAATATTTCTTTCATAAAGTGGAGAATTTAAGAAATTGTTCTCCACTTTAGGATAATAAATAAAAAACATTCGGTAAAATAATTGACCACATTTGGTCAATTTTTGCCTGGGCAAAATTCGACCAAACCTGTTGTTTTTTTGTTTTTTTTTCCTGCTATAGAATTAAAATAAATATATACTTTATAGGGAGAACTACTTAATAGAAAAACATAGCTGGTCAAATTTTACACATCAAAATTACCTGCTGTTATCGTCTGCTACCTCTTATTGCTGGCTAGCTGTTAGCGCCTGTTAGCCATTAACGCCTGCTAGCCATTAGTGCCTGCTAGCTAGTAGTGCCTGTGAACCGTAATCTCCTGTTAGCTGTTATCTTCTGCTCTCTGTTGTTGCTTGCTAGCTGCTGGGGCCTGTTAGCGCATGCTAGCCACTAGTGCCTGCTAGCTGGTAGTGTCTGTGAACCGTAATCTCCTGCTAGCTGTTAACTTCTCCAGCCTAAGAGATTGTGTACTCTGTGCTTTGTCTCTTCATGAGAGACTGCAGACATGTTGAATGAGCCTGTGTATTTGTGTCGTCGAGGAGACTCCATGCAGACCTCCTGCTTTGTTTTTCCCTCTCTAATATGGCTAACCTTTCATAATAAGAACCTGGGAGCTCCATGCAGATAGCACAACCTATAGAAATTACCTCCTCAGCTCTTTTCGTGTCTTTGCTGACTACAGGTGTCCTTGGCTCTGGGTCTGCTGATGCTGACAGCAGGTGTTGTGTCTCTCTCCATCGCTTACTCCGCCCCCCACAAAATCGAGTCCTTCGGCGAGGGAGACCTGTTCTTCGTGGACCCCCAGGCCATCAGCTACAACAGGGATCTGCACTTCAGCACGGCATCCGGGATCGGGCTGTCGTGCCTGGGCTCCGCGCTGGCTGTGATGGGGGTGGTCGTCTGGGTCCTGCCCAAAGCCACCCTTAAAGAGCGGCTGTTCCTCCGACCGAGGGAAGCGGATCAGAGGGGGGAGCTGGGCTCGAAGTGGAGGGCATTCAGAGATGGACCAGATGTGATAACTAAGCCGCCAGATACAGGAGAAGGGAAGATGCCTTTTACTTTGGCTAAAGTGAAAAACGTGCAACCCGCTTCCTAGAAAGAGGCACAGTATCTGATTCTGAACCCCTGTTTACATCGCTTCTCTGTCGTCTCTGATCAGATTTTGTTCTGTGAAGTGAATGTTTGTGACTTAAGAGATCAGAAAAACACTTCCACACACTACAAACTCACACATGCTGGGTAGTGCGTTCACATTTTAAGTCTGATTTTAAATTAAAAAGTGTCCCATCACCATCTTCAAACCACATCAGATTTTTACATTTTATACAGATCTTATATAGAGTCCCTAATTTGGACTTAAAAAAAACGTTTGTTTGTTTTTTTATTACTGAAGTTCTAAGGATAACAATTATTTTCTTAAGATTTCCTTAAAATATAGGTGTTTTTGAACGAAACTTTAAGCCATATTTTATGAGCCCTAAAGAACATTAGAGCCACCTGAATAATCATAAACAGTTTTACTCTTTAACAAAAATGAGACCCAGAGAAATGACCCATTTAACGTGAAGCAGCAGAAAAACAGAGCCATCGACTGTGGGATGTATTTGTTCAGCACACAACGGTCATAATTATAGTACACACACAGTAACATACCAGATAATTTATTGAGCACATACTGTATTGACTGATCAAACACAATAAAAGTATTGGTACAATATAAGTTGTAAGGTTTACAAACGGCTTTCAGCTTGGGGTGGTTGACCGAATGGTTCGAACTTGAAAAATACAGTTATATTTTATATTTTGTACAGTGAATTTGCCCTACCTAAGATGATGTTTTACACCATTAACTACCACAAACGGTATTCACCACAGATGCACTTTAAAGAGCATATGTCATCATACCTGGAAATATTTTTTTTCGTACTTGTAGCTCATGATGGTTATAATAAAAGCACCACCTGTGAGACAAAAAGATTGAGCACAAGAACTGAGAAGTCAACCTAGAACACAGAAGTCATCTCGGTGAAAGCATGAATAGAAAAGTGCTAAATAGAAACTAAAAACATGTCAGGAAACAGGTAGATGTTTTCATTTCTGCTCCAGTTCAGTGGTGCTCACATTTCCGCTAATCTGCCAATAGCAGTGCTGATTTTTAGCTATGCGCGTTAGTGGTTTTGCTAGCTTGAAAATGTTTGGTGCACTTAGCCTAAGTAAATTTTTCCAGATAAATCCCAAATTGATTATTTACCGGGCTATTTTGTAAACTTTCAGTTAAATGAAGTTCAACATTGTTGAAGTTTTGGTTATCCACTATTCATTCATGCTCTTATTTTGAAGTGGGTGAAGACTGTTTAATCTGCAGCTCCGTTTCTTTTCTTCACATGCTCTTTTTTTCTCTCCCTCCCAATAACTGTATTTAAAGTAAAAACAAACAAACACATGAACAAAATAAAACAGTAGAGGTCAAGATATAAACATAAAAACAATATGCAAAGGCATAATACAGCGACTTAAATGTGTGTAGCCCCTTCCTGGTTTCCTTTTTTTTTTCTTTTTTTTTTTTTTGCATGTTTGTGCGAGCAAATATTTGATTTACGTGTTTTGACTACATGCTAAAATCACAGCACCATCTGGTGGCCTGACATGACAACTACAGCTGATGCAGGGTGTCTTGGCTGTAGGGTTCAAATGTGGAACTTTTCCCCAATCAACATCTGAAAATGTCTCATGTAAACGTAGCTTTAGTCACATGGTTGGTACAATCAAACAGTCTCCTTCATTTGGCTCCTGCACTGATAAAAAGTAATTGCATCTGGCACATATTGTCATAAGTAACATTCAGGTGGAACATTTTAAGAGACAAGTGGTTTTCTTTTCTATTTATTAATGAGGTTTGCTGTTATCAGTAGACATTTTTTACCTGATGTACAGAAAAATTTAAATCCCACAGCAAATTTTCCTACTCGACGTACTCCGTGTCTCTCCAAAACAAAAACCTGTCATCACCTCAGTGGTTTAGCTGCTGAATCCCTGCTAGAGAAATCTGTCTTTGCTTTGACACACACCGCGTTGCATTTCATCCCGTACATTTGGGATGTTTGTTATCATTCCAGCTGTTTTATAATCCTTTCAAAAAGAGAAACATTTTTTTTTTGCTGAATAAGAAAAAAAGAAATCCAGCCTCCTCAGCTACCTATTATCAAGAATCTCAAACACTTTTCTTGCACAGATCAAAGCAGAGTGCTTACTCCTTCTTTTTCTGCGGTCTCAGTAAGCAGCTTCAGATTCATTTGATGTAATACCTTTGGAAAGGTCTTTTCCTCAAACACATTTTACGTTAACAAAAGCAGGCAGTTGAGCTGTCCTATCCCAGACGAGATGTCATCGTTCGTATACTTGAGCGCCTCTCTGTTTGAGACAGATAAGACTCTGAAGGCAATTGTGAGGTTTTTTGTTTTTTGGTTTTGTAACTCTTAAAATATATTTGTTATCCAAAATGCTCCCACTTTAACGGGTAACATAAGTTGTTTTCATGGTAAAGAAGTAGAAATCTTTTTGCAGCTGCCAGCTGTCAAGAAATATGCCTGATTTAAACACGTTAGCAGATACATAGTGAGTAAACTTTGACCCAGAGTAGCATATTTTTAACATCTGAGACATCCACATACATACTGCTATTGCAGGTAGCTATGGCAACCTTGCAAATCGCACTAATTGGTCGTAAGTTGTACACAGTTCAAATCATTCATCTCTGTAATTGTTTTGTCTTTATTTTTATTAAAACTACATCCTAATTGCCTGTGTAGTTGCATGGAGCACGGCAGCTGCTTACTGCCACATTCAAATTAACTGATAAGATTTAAAAGATGTCGAAAGTCAAATTTCCAGTTCGTCCAGGAGTTACAAACTTTTTCCGACTGTTTATGATGTTTTATTTCTTTTTTTTTTTTTTTTAGAGAGAGAGAGAAATCTGAATTCATTTAGCAGATCAAACAAAACAAGGAATCTCAGTTTGAGTCGTAGTGATTGGTGAATATTTTGCATCACGTCATCTCTTGTCCTTACAAAGTCATATTAGTTAGGTAAGAATTATCTAACATGGAAAGAAACACGACAATTTGATTTGATTTCTTAACAAAACCTAAATCAAATTGAAAATGTTATCAGAAAAACTAATGAACTAATCTTACTCGCTTTAGCTTGAGGTAATCATTCCCCTCAATAACCTTATCAGTCTGCCTTACATTAATACTCTTTTCACCAGCATCCTTCTAGTTTAATGAAGATTACATGTATTTGTTTTTGCGCAGCTCTTTTAACTGCAACATTTTATTCCACTTCAGTTTTGGAGGGTTGTGTCTGGGTTTTGATTTTTCTTTGTTTCAAGGGTTTGGCTGTAGATTGCCTGTTGTTTTCAATCACTGTCCAATGATGCAGATGATTCAGTGGTCTATGCTGTGGATTTTACAGAGCAGCAATATCTCCATCCTGACTAAACGACTTGGTTTCATAAGCTTTGTGGTTATTCAGGCAGTTGTTTTGATTTGTTTTAATTTAGAAAACAGTAGAAACACGGATGTCAGATCTCCTTTGAACTATGTTTTTGTTAAATTACCAATGACACTGTGTAATATCCCATGTTCTTTTGTCTACCTAAGATTTATAGATTATTTTATTATCTGTAATTCTTTTTTGTTTTTCCATATATTGTTAGACATGAAATGGAAGACTTAGAAAAGGGCATGGTTTTTTATTTTAATTAGATTGGATTTCATGTCTTTGACAATTTAGCAGTTTTGCTTTTTTAATTTTGTGAAATATCAAACGTTATTTTAAAATAATATGACATCTGCTACATAGAGGACCCTGTGTGAGACCCTCATCAGTGCGGTGACACGCAGACGGAGGCTCTAGATAAGAAAATATTCATTAACCAACTGGTTTTACATTTTCACACATCTGCGCTAATGGTCGGTTTTACTGTATGAAACACATGTAGAGTCACGTATGCTGCCACTCACCCGGTCACCCCCACATACACTGTAATTTGTACTCCTTTGACAGCACCACCTATTTTCTCCCCACTGTAATCTGTTGCTGTAATTGCCAGTAATCTGTGTATCTAGGCAACAGTTGGGCTTCAAGTGCTCTATTTTGAACTCAGAACAAAGTCTCTCTCCTGATTGGTCCTTCACACCACCATCTCTCTTTATCCTCACATGTATCAGATTTGTTGTTTTCAGGTATAAACAGTAGTAACGCTGAGGTAAAGGGAAATTGCCACCTGTCCAGTTTTGTCCTCCTGGAGTTAACGGTTAACTCCAGGAGGAGTTAACCGTAGTGTCGGGATATGCTGCAGTTGTTCAGGTGGATGTGACCGTGTTTCGTCGTTTGCCGTTTTATTGTTTTCCAGAAATAAAACTGGGGTTAGCAACAGCAGTGAAAAGCAAAGGACCAAAAATAAAATTGTAATCTGCATACCAAGTATCTCTGTGTTTGGATCCTTTTGAGTTAAAAAAAAAAAAAAGGACAATACAGCAGAAAGAGATGTACAGAGACTTGCAAAAATACATCCCACCACCACCTTGGTTTTTTTAATTAAATTTTTTTTTGCCACATTGTTACCAGGAATACATCGATTCACTTTTTTCACTTCCAATACCGATATCTGAGATTTAGCATCAGCCGATACTGATCTGATACAGAAAAGCTGTGCTGAATTGACTTAAAACGGAATACAGAAATGCACCACTGATCAAGAAACAACCAATCAGAGCCAGGAGGACGGTCTTAGCACTGGCAGTTATGCTCATGTACTTGCTTCTCACATCCTCCCACTTGCTTTTTACTAAGCTACAGCTAATGCTAGTTAGCATAGGCACTGATGACGCGGAAAAACAGTTTTCCTGTAACGATAAGTTGTTTCTCCTGATTTTTTTCCCCCCACGTTTTATCTGTCTCAACACAGTGACAGTTTTAACAAATATGTGAAAATCATATTTTTCTCAACGGTACATACTGCAGGACTGTACCGTTTAAGGACTGTAAATACAAGGCACTGTGTACATTAACATGCAGAAGCTAGTGAGTTATTTTTTAATGTAGCCACTACATTTTCACAAAGCTTGCGCCAGACATCTGGTGTCACAGCACAGCTTGCGCAGAAGATCAATGTAAGCTAGTCACCATTCAGACACTTTTAAACATCTTCTACAGCATGTCACCACAACATGATATTTCTTCTTCTGCAGTCTTCTGCAGCGCCTCGCAGAGAGGAGGGTCTTTCGCCGGCTGCAGTCACTTGGGGTGAGTGAATCCCCAGGCTGGAGCTACAAAGACTAAGCCACACATGCACAGTGAGATTCTCAAGTCTTCGTACAGGCCTGAGGTCAAATCAGGATAGTAACTGCTGGGATGCTACAGCTCAGCAGAGAAGTGTAGCTAAAAACAGGAAAACGTAATCATTATGTTGGTACTAGGAAGATGTTGTGATCTAACTATTCAGGCCATTGGAGACATTGCATGCTACAACAAGCGCAAATATTCATGCACTCCACAAATCAGGTCAGAGAGACAGGAAAGAAAGACGAAAAGAATTCCCATTTAAGCCAAACACGTGGAAGAAGGTGCTCTTGTCACAAGATGAGATTGAAATTGAATCTCATCTTGTGAACACACTCACTGAGGTAGTGGCAAAAAAGGAGTTGATAGGAAGGAAATGGAGTTGAAGACAAGGGCATTTGCCTCTATTTATAGCCATAGCTACAATGGAATTGTTCAGATCTAAGCATATTTATATCTTCAACACTGGCCTAGTCAAAGTCCAGACCTAGGCTTTTGCAACTTGGACAAGAGGTTGTGGGAATCAAAGGTCTATGTTTACATCCGAGCGTTAATAGTATTGTAGATTTCCCAAACATTATTTTTTTAGAGTGTGTATAGCCCCCTACTGTAAGTGTATAGGCTTTAAAGAGAGAAAACATTCCGTAACATTTTACATTTGAAGATGTTGCCTGTTAATGTTTAATTGGATGTCTGTCAACTTGAAGTTCACGGTTCAAAATTTCTACTTTCTCTTAACGGGATTGGACAAGCAGGTGTCGTTTCCCAATAACTTAACCTATCAGGTTAGGGGGGCGGGACCTTGATTCGGCGGCTTGGTGAAGAGAAGGTGATAGTGGAAAAAGATAAGAGTGACATGGCGGCGCTGCACCGAAGATTCTTTTTGTAGGTTTGAGCTGTTATTTGTTTTAGTGTTAGTACTTTTAATGTTACGTTTTGATATTATTTAGTATAAGATGGAGACAAAAATTACTCAATGTCTGTGAAGTGTCTGTGTTTGTAAACTCTGTTAGGAATGAGACATGGACGTTGTTCTGTTAGCTTCAGCCGAAGCATTACTCATGGGCCAAAGGTTTCTGCACCGAGTTCTTAAAGTGGAAATATTGCATTAGAATGTATTTTGGGCTTTGTAATATGTATTATGAGCTAATTTGGGATTTGTGTAATGTCTTAATAGTGGACTTAGATGAGCTGCTCCTGAAACTGCGGCACAGGATGCGCTCGCGGTCTCAGCTGAGGTTTAACTCCTTTCCACGTGCGGACAACGTGGAGACTTGAAGGAGGCTGAAACTTCATTGGTCCGGACAACAGACCAACTATCGACTGTCAGTTTTTAAGGTAACTGATGGAACACATCATGAAAACCACACCTTTGAACTCCAACAAAGTGGTGCCGCCAACTAGTCGTTCACACTGGACTTCATGCATTTGAAAACACATCCGACCAGTGTTGTTCAGACTGTCATAAAAAGATCATATAAAGGTCACATTAGGGCAAAAAAAAAAAATGGAATTGTGTCACTTCAGGCTGCAGTGTAAATGCAGCCATAAAGAACTAAAACTCCAATGAATTTTGATTTAACACGAGTTCAAAATTTAGGTTTGGTTGGTCTTTAAAGCAAATTATTAAAATTATTATGGTTTAACCCTTTTTTAAGGGTATTTATGGGAGTTTGCCATCTCTGTAAACATTGCTTAGCTGAGCCGACTATTTTAAGCACCTATTTTTGTCAAAATTTAGTTTGTTTGCACTATATCAATTCACTTCAGTATTTTAGACGTTCATTATCTGGTTTTGATGCATAAAATAATTTATTTGACCTTAAATGTTTTAGAAAGGTAAACTAAAGTCAAACTGGAGTGGGTGGGCTATATCCCTTGTTTTTGTTTTACTTACACAACCAGCTAGAATCAGCAAGATGTAAAACATTGTGCATTAAATATCAACGCTACAAACACTGTATGCAAAGTGTTTTTGTATAATGTGTGTGTGTGTGTGTGTGTTTATGAGCTCCTTATATGCCCGGGTGAGTACATTCTGCTGCTTTAACGGGATGACTCACACTCTTGGATGTGAGTCATCCCGTCTTGTCTCCCAAGTCGCATACTAACAAGAGAGACACTTAATGTTCGCCAGTCGAGACAGAATGTGCTCAGACAGTTAAACGCAATCCATATTTATTTCAGGTCAACACTTTATCGTCACAGTTCTGTTTGTTCTGCAGTTCTTTTGACCCTGAAGCTTTTCACTTCTTTTGCTTTACCTTTTTTGAAGCACGTTAATTGAATCTTATTGCATTGCTGAAAATATACTTGCAATGAAGAGAAAACATTGTTCATTAAAAGTGTATTTATCTTTAGTTCTGTAATGAATAATTACCAAATGCAGTAATATGGAAGATGCACATTTTCCCTCTTATCTGTTTATCTTCTGAATGATAATTGTTCTCCCTCAACAGATGGTTGTGAGGCTGTTTGTCAGTGTTTACTGGCAGACCTCTGCTCCCTTCACAGAGTATCTGTCTTTATGATAGGAGTGCATTTACACCACCCCAGTGTAGTCCGCTTTAAGTGAACTCCACTTCATTTGTCCATAAACTTTGGTTTGTTTGAGGAAGTGTAAATGCACAATCGAACTCCAGTGTGGACCAAAATATCGAACTCTTGTCTGCCTAAAACTTAGGTCTCTGTTCGGTAGAAGAACTCTCTGGTGCGGTTCAAAGGCAGATGTGAATGCCAATCGGACAGCAGGCCGCTCCAAAAGCAGGAAGTGAACTAAGGCACAGGGCATTATGGGTAACAATAACCAAACAAATAAAATAAAATTTCTCTCGGCGCTAGCAGGAGAGATGACTCGTGGTCTTTTACCAAAAACAAGAGACTCCTACAACCTAACATCTGACACAACTCCTATTTTTGTTTACAGTTAGTGAAGAAGGAAGTTGCACTCGTGTCTTCTTCAGTGGTTCTTGGTGCAGAGCCTCCACAGGCGATGAGGGGAACATGTTTGGTTCGTTTAACACAGCAGCTGAAAATATAACAAACTTTGGTCCCAAATTGAACAAGTCTACTGGACTGTCAAGTGTGAAAACACCCTTATATGAACTCTATTAATTAATTAGATACTCAAGCAGATTTGTTTGAGTATCTCAAACTGAAAGGTGGCCTGCTTTTCTATTCAACCACTTTTTATCTTTGAAGACCAGGTGTATTACTTTTTCAAATCAATTTCAAAAATACTTTATTGATCTCAAAGATAAATTAATTGTTGTTGTTACTCGTATTAATTCAAAATTCTTTAGAGTTATTGTAGATGGTGATGATTATTGGCAGGAAAGGTCTCCTGTAACGGTCTGTTTTGCACCAAATAACGTTTTTTTTTTTGTTTTTTTTACTTTGTGTTGGTCTATTAAATGAAATGCTCATAAAATTCAAATGTTGTGAATACTTTTTCAACATTAAAGTTGCCATCTGTGTCTCAAAATAAAATTCCCAGGTTCTCTGTTCCTGCTTCATCCTTTATGTTGATTTCAGCTGGTAAAGCTTTATTAGTGAGTGCAGATGAGGAGAGTGAAACCTGAAAGCGGAGCCAACGTTTCCTGTGAAGATGGAAGCCGACGCGCTCCACCGACCACAGAACCTCAGAGAGTGAGTCACGCTGTTGTGGGAAGCTGAGGATTGTGGCTGCCGTCTGGGCAGATGATTGGCAGCTACCGCTGTCCAAATGTGCCGGCGTAGTTGTGTGTGAGCAGGGGACAGGAGCTGCTTCCCTGGCTTCCTGTGAGTCTGCTGCGTGGATGTGGTACCATGACATCACATCTGCTGTTTACGTTTGATATTACAAAATGCAGAAAGTCCTCCAGCCAAGCAGTTACCTCCCGGTGTGCTGCTGCTTGGGGGGAATTATCGATGGCGGCGTTTAGTCTCGAGCCAGAGATATTTCCAACTGTTTCCGGCTCTCAACAAACACATAGAATTTTAGAACATTATGTAAATTATCATCTGGTCAGCCGACGACCGTAGGTGGTGTTAAAGCTGATCACTGTTTCTATGCCAGGTTGGCCCAGATACAGAAAAAGCAACCTGAAATAAAAAAGCTTCCAGCGGTGAAGTGGTGTTTCAAACAAACTTTCTATTAAGATATTTAGTTTTTTAGATCCTCTATGCTTTGGAGGTTGAATATTTTTTTTGTCCTGTACTTTGACTTTAGCACGTGGTTTAAAACGGCCCAGTCAAAGTTCAGGTCAACTGAGAATCTTTTTCAAGCCTTAAAGGGCCAATACCATGTAAAAATTGACTTTTTTGAGCTTTACACTGCTGTAATGTTATTCCTTCATCGAAAGCATACCTGGAATGTTGCCTTGGTTCTTTCATGGATAAGACATTGTGTGTCTTATGTTAGAAAGTTTTAATACATATGTAAAATCTTGTTTGTTTTGGTTATATGCTTCAGCTTTAAGCAGACGTTCAATGTGAGTTCACTGCCAGGTGGAGGTTGAACGGCTGTAGTGCGTAGCGGCAGTCCAACAGTGAGAGCAGAACCAGCGTCTTTCCCACTGCTAGCCTGAAGACTTAATTATTTTTCGGGTTATTTGTTTAGCTTTCTGACTGTGATGCTAATCTGGATGCTCTCTGAGCGTTGAAGTTCCTCACTGCCGTTGAAGTTACTGCACTTGTGCAGTGTGAAGGAAAGAGGAGATGAGCTGCACATGCAGGCTGCGAAGTGAGATCAGTTTGTGTGATCGGCAACACAAGACCGTGATCGGCGATCACCAATCATACACTTTTTCACGGAAATTGGCTAATTATGATTGGTGGCCGATCGATCGGCACACTTCTCTGGTTGCTTGATTATGCTAAAAATGGAACTATGCCTGGAAAACACGATATATGTTTTTTTCCTCTGTGGCTTTTCACTCGGCTTTTAATGTTGGTTTTAATGTTTGAATTGTTTTTAGTGTTGTGTTAAAGTTTTACATAATTGAAGTTGCATTGTATTGTATCACATAAAATTCACTGAGCTTGTTGATTGTGATGTGTCAATCAACACCTTGCAGGAGTAAAAACATCTGCAAGGTGCTGTAATGTAGTATCCCCCATTCTCATCTTCCTTCAGTTGTTACTTGTTCAGGGTTTGGGGAGGAGCCTGGTCACCTAGGTTACCAGCTTAACGCACACCGGCAGGCAAAGGGAGAGAGAAATTTTGCTTAATCAGACGGGAAATTAAAGAGCATGTGGAACCTAGTTTAGTTTGAGAAAACCCAACCAGAGAACAACGTTATGAATACCACATAGAAATTATTATTATGAAGTTCCAGAATGACTGTGTGGCAGCCTCTTGGAGATGATCCTGGAAACGGGTGTTAATATGGAGTAATAGCACCTGTTCCTCTGATCCTTGTCAGTAAATGAACGCTAGACCTGGAGAAATGACAAACAAGTATCAACAGCATCTGTTCCTTTGTTGTGTGTATAATGTATGAATTCATCGGTAAGAGGGGAATATTGACAATACAGACTGCTTTTTTTATGTCTGCCCTTGAACACGATGTGAACCTTGTTGTGATGTGACCTCCTGTTCAAATAGCCTTGGAAGAAAGCTACTTTGTCCTGGAAATATATGGGAGTGCGTATCTGCAACATATCCTGATAGACCAGAGTCTGTCTCTAGCGGTCAGGGAGTGACGGGTGGAGGCACACTGCAAAGCCACACAATCTTACCAAGTATTTTTGGTCTAGTTTCTAGTGAAAATACCTTGGTACACTAGAAATAAGACAAAAACAACTTACTCATGGATTTTCAGCAAGACATATGAGCTTGTTTTACATCAATAATTTAACATTGATGAAAAAATATTAGTTCTACTAAGAGATTATTTCACTTATAACAAGACATTTTTCCCATTATAATTGAAATACTTAATATTTTTCATCAATATCAAGGAAATATTGACTTAAAACAAGGTCCTATATCTTATTAAAAGTTGCTTGCAAGATATTTGCACTAGAAATGAGACCAAGACTTGGTAAGATTTTATTTTTGACGTGACATGGACTTCATAAAGCTTAATAAGTGTTTTACAATCACAGTGGACCCACAGCAATTTGGCATTCAGTTCTTGGGGACATGCGTATTTGCAGAATGTTTAGTAGAACGTTACTCTACAGTATTCACTGATCTTTTTGGTTGAGGAAAATTTTACTTCTGGGTTGTCCCTGGCAACAGAGTAGACAATGTGCTGAATGGAAATAATTAAATCTGAACTTCATTATGGTTTATGTACATTTGAATGGGTGTGAGAGGAGGGGTCTGTTTGTAGAGTGCGAGTGTAGCTATGTTTCATTACAAATGCGCACAAAATATTGTCAGTGTTTCGCTGATGTCAAAAAAACAAAACAAGAGTTTTGCAATTGCAATGTTTCCCTTAAATCACATGAATGAGTTTGTCGACACAATACGTCAGTAAAAAAACACCCACACCCTGGTCTTCCAACTATTTCCAGTCGTCTTCCTCTTCGTGGTTTACACCAGCAGAAACATCTGATTGTTGGTTATGTGACAAAAAAGTGTTTCCATTGCAGTTTTGCAAAATAAACCAATTTAGATATGGCCAGAAACACCCATCTCATCCGAGCACAAAAACATTTGATTGAAAAACAGGGTTGTTGTTTTTTTCTTCTTCTTTCTTTAAGCAAATGTAATTTCTGAAATGAATCTCAAAACATCTGTTTTTAGGCAGAAATGTACTGTTTTGATATCTGCATAGGGCCTAATGCGTCACCCCCCCCACACACACACAATCACGTGCACCCAGGTAGAAATTAAAAATGTTCCTCTAAAGGAACCAGAGATGCATGCACAGTTCCAGTACAAATGAAGTAGCAGTAGGCAATCACAGCGCCGATGAGCTCATCAGAATTCTGCTGAAGAAACGGTTACGGTCGACCACGCTGATGTCTCACACATCACGACATGAAGAGATGTTATTTCCATCTGCAGCCACAGCTCAATCTATCCACACGCGGTGGCCAAATTCTTATCCAGGGAGCGTAATGTTCAATTCATCACCATGAAATACTCTACAGTAGGTCACAGTACGCTGCACGCATGCACAAGGCTGATGGTATGTACAGTAAGGTGGCGGCGGCCGGTCAGTGGAAGAATGTGTCTTTTGAGAATGTTTCTGCAGCTTCAAACTCATGCGCTCTGGTCGTTTCGCATGCACTTGATTTAACAGGAAGTTCTTCACATTTAAAAAACCCTTCGGCCTGAGCTGTGCTGATGTTCCGCCATCTGAAGATGAAGAAGTCCTGCTGGGAAGAGGAAACTCCAACGTCCAAGCTGGAGTTCTCATCAGTTGTTGGTTTTGACACATCTTTGATTTTAACATGAAAGTGAAAAATGAAAAAAAAAAAAAAAAATCAGATATGTGTATTGCTTTGCTTCAAATGAACTGTTTAAACAAAGACTTTCCTTAGCAACCTGCTGTAGAAATTTTATTTAATGGGTGAAAGTTATTTTTATGAAAATATTGGCATGACAGCAAAAGCTTTATACCAAATACCGTAACAACCAATTGTTAGCGATGTGTTAAAATATCCAGATTGGTGAACCCTTGGTATTTACAGGCCTAACTAAAATCCACAAAAACTTGAAACCCTTATAACTGTGTAATTTAATATTTCAAACACAAGATATACATTGATATACATAAATACACACAGTGAAAATTATCATGGTACTACCGCAGACGCTAAAATCTAGTCTCCCTTATCTTCAGCCTTGGAGCTACAGCCAATAGCATGTCAAGAACTATTGTGTCTAGGTATTTGAGTTACAGGGCTGCTTTTTCTTTGAAAAATGTTAGCAGTGCTGTACAAGAAACCGTGCTGGGTTAATCACACCAATCAGGTGTGAAACTTTGAAAAACTAAGTTGTACTACTATGTTTTTTTTTTGTTTGTTTTTGTTGTGGTTTTTTTTGTTTGTTTTTTTTTTAAGAGAAGATGCTCTCTCCCTTTCAAATTACTTGAAACTAAAGCTGGTTTGGTTTTGATACGCTAGAAAGTCTTCATGAAAAACTTGCCTTTTTGTCCTCAACTTATTTAAAGAGACTTTTAAATAGTCTAAAATGAAAGAGAACTCAGTTTTCGTGTTTGTGGGATTTTACCTGCTTGTTGACACTGGGTCAGATCAAAGTACCACGTGAACGAAACGATTTCTCTCCAATCACAAGCAGTTTACTTAGGGTGGAACAAGTGGATCAAAACTTTGTCAACTTTGTTGATGCTGAAAACAACTTTTCACTTTTTCTCTCGTTCCCCCTGCAGCTCTTGCCGCAGGAGACACGGGAAGGCTTCACTGGGGGATTCTTCTCTACGGTGGTTTTTGGCTTCATTGTGAGTAACTGAGTTTTTACAGCTTCACCACATGCTCAGCATTTCCTCTTATACAGCTTCCAAGAACCCAGAGAAGGGTAAAGATCTGGGTTTTACAGGAAGCGAATGATTTAACAGTCAGTAGCTAAAACTACATCACAACTTTTGTATGTAGTTTGGCTTTGGAAAAATCTAAAAGTAACCCGTGATGCTTGTATCACAGTTTGACAACCATGGAAATACGAAATAAAGTAATCTGTTCATTACTTAAAAATATTGCAAGCAACACAGTTTTATAACATTATTAGCATAAAAATGAAGGCAATTCATCATTTGTTTGTATACAATTTTTGACAAAACACCATAGGTCAAAACAAAATGCCAAAAAATGTATAATTGTGTGGGGAGTGTTGTGGAAATTTTTCTGTAACAAAGAATGAAAAAAAAAACTGTTTCAAAGCCCACAGAACCAGAGAGAGAATATATTCTTAATCAGTATTTATTCGAAGGCTTTATGGTGTTCAAAGTCTGCTGACTGAACAGTCAGGAGGAAGAGCCTCCAGCAGAACAAAGCTTACAGTTTTATAGGGAGGGTTTCATTCCATTCACATAGTTTGACAATCTACTTGGTTACAAAACACATTGCAGGCATAAGTATGTTCTTTCAAACAGTTTAATAACTTTATTATAATACCAAGGCCAAAGAAATAGCTTCAGAAGAATTTCTCATGAGCATGTGCATTATACAAGAATCACTATACTGTTATGCATTGGTTTACTCATAATCGTATAGTAATCTTAAAATTTTCCACTGCAGGGGGAAAAGTAAATAAAGGTCTTTTGGTCTATGGGGAAAAGGCTTTTCTACCTTGACTCCTGGAGTTAGCCATGACTGGAAGCTGCTTACTGCTAGCTGCTGGGGGAGTGGCTGAGTATGGATTTCATACCCGTACCCTCTTGCTTCTGTTGATTCTGGTTGCTAGGTAACGAATAGCTGAGGCCGTTTTGGATTGACACATTTGTGAGGTGAAAAATAAAGATAGTTGGTAAGAAACAAAGATTCCCATTAAATTCCATAGGAAATGAATGCGGGTCATTTTTGATCCACTAATAGAAGATAGGGTTTAGTAATAGAAAACATGCTCTGTCGTAAAATGTATAAAAGCTAATTTGAATTGCATGATATTAGAAACATGTTTTTTAAGGAATACCTGGAATATGAAATTATGAAAAATTTTCATTACAAAGATATTGCAGAAAAATGACATCACCGGGTCAAAAAAGACCCACTTATGCATCAGAGGGTTAAACAATGAATGAATTATTTAGTGATTATTGGTTCAGGCTGTTTAAACAAAACAGAAAAGGTCCATTAAAAGAATAAAATATAAATCCTTTTCTGCAGTCAAATAACTGTTCTTGCCAGGTGTGAAAGCATAAGCTCAACAACAAACCTGTGAGCTGGCTCTCTGCATAAATTAACAGCACAGGTACACACCAGCTGTTTGCTGCTTTCACTTTCAGACACCTCATAAAAAGAAAAAACCAGACACAGCAAGAGAAACTACGGCAGCAAACATGTAGAAATGACAAAGTTCAACATGTTTTTTTAAATTCAGGGCCAATAGAGAAGAGAGTTGAAACCTTCTAATTTTGCTCCTGTGATATTACTGCACCCGTTACCTCCGTCCTGATTGAAGCAACAACTCACAGCTTCCCTGCTGGCTGTCATGAGTCAGTCATGAAAAGAGCAAGAAATAAGTGAGTGAAAGGAGGAAAGTGTGACCAGCTGAGGGGGGAGGCACAGGGGAAGAATGAGGAGGGATGGGGGTAAATTAAAAACACTTCATCACAAAATAACCTCAGGAACACTTTCAACATTAAGATATTGATGATATAAAACAATGTTAGACTATGCAGGATGGATTTTATTATTAGCTTTAATAACTTGCAAAAAAAAAAGTCTGTCTTCCTCCTCCATTTAATCTACTCTGTTGTTCTGCTGTAGTTAAGTATTTATGAGACGAAGGTGACAAAGAGGGAGCTAAATTCAAGACTGCAGGTTTGAAGGTTTTGAATAATTATTGCTTTGCAAAGGAAAGTATTCAAATTTATGAGTCATCTGCTTTATATCCTGATATTAATTCTCAAAATATACAGCAGCACCTCCATTTCCTAGGATTACATCCATTTCAGTTTGGATGTAATCTTATCCATCACAATAAAGCACCTTCAGAAAGTATTAAAGGGGCAGTTTTATGTGTTTCCCTGGCAAGTAGTGAAATTTTATAACGTAATCAAGTAAGTACGTTACCTTCAGTTGTAAAAATGCTGTATATTTAAAATAAAATTTGTGATGTCATTTAATTGCTTGAAATTGGGCCTCTGTCCCTTTAAGAACCTTCTGCTCTTGCTGAAACTACCTTCAGGATGTCATCACAACATGGCTCCTCTATTAATCCTTCAACATTTTTACCAGCGTCTCATTTAGAAGAAGCTCATGAAATAAGCTCAGAATGCACAGTTCCACCAGGTGCTAATTGCTGCTGGCTAATCTGAAGGAGCTGAGTGAAGGAGGTCAGATCTGTGAGGTGGAACCACAGAAGTTTGGAAAGTGCAGGTCTGAGGAGGAGCTCTGTCTTGAAGTCGGATCTCGGCCCACCCAGGTGTTTTGCACAGCTGAATGGTTGCCATGAGAGATTAAAGTATTTTCCAAACATGCATAAAAGAATCAAAGCAACGCTCGAGGTACGATTTGATAAGGGAATAACATTATATCATATTGTAACATAGTCATTTTTACTTAACATTGCCCTTTTAAAATGCTGAAAATATCTAAAACTCACCTAACTCATCTAAAACGACCCTGAACCCAAGCTACAATGGAGTTATTTAATTTAAAGCATATTCTTTTGTTAAACTGGTCTAGCCAAAGTCCAGACTGAAAACCAATTGAGAAATTGTTCAGATTTGCTTTTCTGAGTGCTCTCAAGCCAACCTGAGTTTAAGATCATTTGAAAGAAGTATTGACGATATATTTTGTTTCTAAATTTCCAAGGCTAGTAGAGATACACCACAGCAACATACAAATGTAGCCATACCAATTACACACTGCATTTAGGCTAATTTAAAAGATGAAATGGAAATAAAATACTTTGTGGTTTGTGGTTCCAATGTGGGATGTAAGGGAACATACATCGCTATCTGCTAGCTTAAACGAACAGAAGGCAACTTCCATTTCTGATTCAAACAACGAAAGACAAATAAGGGCTTTTCTGATTTCAAGGTCCCCATTTCCTCTCCTACACAGTATTTGAAGATTAATTTTTTTTTCTAATCTCAAAGTTAACTGACAGGGAGCGTCCAAACGTCATTAAGCTAATCAAAAGTTAGCAATGTGCAGAAGTTATTTTTTTTTTGCTCCTGTTTTTGTTTTTTTGTCCCCCCCCCCGTCTTCTTCTTCCTCTGAATCCCATCAGGAGATTTAGCGCAGTCAAACACCTCTGCATATTTTGCCGTCACCATCGGTTTGTTGAGCATTAAAAATGTTAATTGGAATCTTTTAAAAAGGAAAGAAAATATCGCATTACCATCCCACCTCCTGCAGTCACAGCCTGTCAAAATGCAATATTCCAAATTAGATTGTATTTGGATAATCTTTTGAACTGTAATAGGTTTCCAGCCAGCAGGCATATTACTATTGGCACATCATTATTAAACAAAAGTGACACCGAACCATCACTTTGCAGGCGGTGCCAGATAAACGTTCGACACCGTGCAAATAATATTAGTTCTGCTTCCAGAGTCACCGGCTTATCTCTGGGATGCTATATTGGGTTCATATCCCTGTCGGCTGGTGAAGGCCTTCTGACGGAAGTGTCTAAATTTATGAGTAGCCCGTATGTGTGTGGTGAATGTATGAATAGGTGGTTGTGTGTGTGTGTGTGTGTCGCACATTAACACTTTTATATATAAATGCTACTATAGCTTTGTGTGTGGGCGGCTAGATGAGTGCGTGCAAAGCTGGATACATTCATATGTAAATAGGTGGTGTATGTGTGCCTGTATGTGCAGACGGGACCCGTATCATGGTGTAATGAGATCCGCCACTGTTGGTTACCCTCACACAGTGGTAATTATGGCAGCGGTGAAAAGGACTGATGCTGAAGGCAGGATGGATGCTTTCACAAGCACATTCAGCCACACACCGGTCTCCCCGGACAGAAGGCTGCGGGCTAAATGACGACCCGTCCGTTTTTTTTGTTGTTTTTTTTTTTTCCAGAGGGATGGCCATATGACTGCGTTAACTGGAAATGATGAATTAGACCTGCATGCGCCTTCTCATCAGCCCCATCTACCTGTTCACGCACACAGTAACAGATTTAGAGGACATTTGAAGTGATGTTTTCCAGCAGGGTGTAGAAGAGATAACAATAAAAACATTGAAAATGTGAAGAGGAAACGTGTTTTGTTCATTCAGCTGTTGGAAGATCCTCGCTTGATTTGACTCGTGGTGATTTCAGGAATGAATTTAATGTTACACATTGTGGCAGTAGCTGCAAAACTGACACTTTTAAAATAAATTTGCTTAACAGGACACCAATTTCGAAAAAACTAGTTTTTTGGTAAACATTTTTGGTGCAAAGATGGGATGATTTTTGGCATATCGAAATTAATTTTGCAAAACTGCAATGAAAACACTTTTTCGCATCACACAAGTCGTGACCCTCCGGATGTTACCACTGGCGCAAACCAGGAAGACGACAAACAGGATGTAGCTGGAGGATGATGCCGATACATGTTTTTTAATGACTTATCGTGTGAACAAACTTATTTACGTGTGATTTTTAATTGTGTTTATTTCTTTAAAACACTGCAATTGCAAAATAGTTTGACATTAATGGAATATTGACAGAGTTTGTATTGGAAATGCAGCTTGTCAGTCAGGTGATCTGGTAAACAGACCAAAATGTAATCCTAACGAATTGCACTTCTGTATTAAACACGCCTCTTTCCCAATGCTTAACCCTGATCCGCCGGCTTTATATAGAAAACAGAGACTCAACAATCTGCCATGTTGGATCGATGACAGATGACAACGTGAAGAGAAGCATGGTCTGAACCACCCCTCCTTCGGTGTGCTTGCATCCTGTCCCATGTTGGTTCCTAGCATCTGTCATCTCCGTAATTGTCCTTGTGCTTCTGCTTCGCCTCGGCAGAGTGGCCGACCCGCTCGGCGGTGCTGCCGACAGCCCGCTCTGCCTCGTGGGCTCTTCGTCTCTTTTCCTCCCAGACAGTCACATCAAACAGAGTTCTGATTCATTTCCTCGGTGCTCGCCTTGAACCTTTCAACCACAATTTCGCTCCTTTTTACACCTCTCCGACTCCGAACACAAGCATTTCCTCCCTGCTTGTCTCTGTGGCTAATGGACTCCATAGTGCGTCTTTTGTGCCGAGGGGCCCTTAATCAAATGCATTTTTCAGTGCCTCATATAGGCAACGCAGTGGAGAAGCATAAAGAATATGGCAATATTCTATGAGTGGAAGCCATCGACCATCAATATGGTGCACTCAGAGTACACATGTGCATGTAGCCATTTTCCTCAGCTTTTTATGTGGATACCTCTTTAAATGGCTGAGTTGAAAGGCTTTTATAGCTGCTTGTCAACAAGGCCATTTCTCCCAAACTCCAAAACATCTTCATCAAGCTTTTGAATGCTCCCAGCTTAGAATCCATCTAATCATTGTAGCCGTAATGGTAACAGGGTTGAAGAGTTCTTGGAAAAAGCAGCCTTGCCCTTGGCACTTTCCTCTTGGCGTGGTTTTGATGTAATTGGATCGCTGTGACTAAAGCAGCAGGGGGCTTGTTCCTCCTTCTAAGGATTTCTTTTTAATTTCCTTGCTTCTGACATTTGATGTTTACAAGAAATATATATATAAAGAGATAGAGCTATACTGTTGGATGCAACAGGATAGATGTTCAAAAGTGAGAAGATTGAACCATGAACATGTGGAAAGTGACTCAGAAGAATTTAGAACATGCGT